GGAGACGGCGTTCATTTAAGTGATGTTAAGAACAAACAATCAAAAGTGCTGCTCGGGAGAACACAACACGTCCACATCAGCAAATGACATGTAACAATGGTGACATCTAATTTATAGCTCAAGGAGCGTGTACAAGCAAATAAACAGGCATCTCTGGTCCGCACGTCCCTCTCAATTTGCCTCTCCCACGGTCTATTGACTCTCAGACGCCGGGGCGGGAGGGGAAATAGAAAAGTTGAACATTTTGAGCTGATGTCTCATTCACAGGTCAAAGACCCCCGCTTTCTTAGAAAACCTGTGCAGGCATCTGTAAAGCATAAACATGAAAAACATATTCCACTTGCAAGTATGCCACAACATTGGGGATGTGAGGAAGGAGGGGGGATGTTTTCAGCACTGTCGAGGAAGAAAGGAAACGATTTGAAGACATCTCAGCGTCTCTTCTCTCCTTTCATTCCTGCGTTCCTTAAGGCAGGTGTTGTCAGCGCCGTCTGCGCGGGGTGGCGGAAACTTTGAACCTCGCCGTGCCCCATCCAAGGGCTTTTTTTCAAGCTCGAGTCTCGTGATCTCGCTAACTGCCACGTTATCTCTGCACCGCCGTGGCGACGCCTCCAGGTAACACGGAGATTAGAGGCAGTCAGAGGCCCATGCATCACAGCAAAGCTGCAGCAAAAGGGGGTCTTTAAATATTTAACGTATGAGTATGATCACACATTGTTACTCTAAGAAGAGAGGGGAACAAAGAATACAAATGTTTCGCTTGGAAATCATTTACATTTCATTGCCGGGACTCTGTTCTGAGACAGATGCAAGTGTTGAAATGCAAAAATAATGTAAAAGACTATCCACACTTCCTGCTGTCGGAAAATACACAAAAAGCTGCCACTGCTAATGCAATTTTGATGGATTTTTCTATCACATCAATAATTTGTGCGGTAGAAATAACAAGCAAACAAATACCATGTGGCGTAGGGAGGCAGGCTTCTCCGGCCTCTTGTCAAAGTCAATAAGAGTCCTCAGGTAATGACCCTATTTGCATTGTAAACCAGGCCCTTGTGTGAGAGTGCTAATGGGGCCACTACCTGAGGTGATTCATTGAAAGTGACATTACTTGAACTCTCCTCGCTTTTTTTTTTTACCTTCCCTTGCTCAGCCCTTTGAAGGATCGTCTCATCTTATTTTAATGTAGTGCCACAAGTCTAAACAGCGAGGTCAAGTCTTTTCAAACTTTGACACAAGTGAAGAGGAGATGGGGGGGGGGTAAGTGTGGAGCGTTAAAGTAGCGCATGTCCCTTTTCGGTGTGGTTTTAAAATAAAAACACGTTGCGAAGGAGCACTGCTTTAAAGGTGACTATCACAAACAATATTACACAGAAGAAACTGTAACACTGACTTTAATTAAATGTCAACAGATTTCACATAACTGTATTAGGTTAGTTGAAAGCAATAATATTAAGTTGAACCTTATATTTTTTTAGTTAAACTTAATATTATTGCCAACAAACTAACCTTATGCAGTTGTGTGAAATCTGCTGACATAATGTATTCAAAGTCAACGTTTCAGTGGATGTTTTTAATCCATCATGACACATGCCATAATGCTTGTCATTTTCTGATGTGCTTACTTTCAAAAAATTGCACACCAATGCTGACAGTTATCTGTATAATTATCCCTAATGGCTCAAGACACAATATTATAAATATATCAAAATTAATCACCTCAACGCTAGCTGCCATGAAGTGACGGTTTTAATGGATCCTATGGATTTCCAGAAGACTTGGGGGGATGCAGTTAGATTTTCTGACAAAAACAAGCATTGATGTCGAAGAAAACTGACGGAGAATAAAGAGAACATTTCCATCCCCTCTTGTCCTGTCTAATTAGTCATATTATATGTAATTAGAAAATGGATATAATCCTATCGGTATACAACTTTTAGGTGTCCTGAAAATAATTTAACAAAACACCGTTAATGTACCCTTCCTTCATATAAAGCAACAGGAAAAGCAGTCATTTGTTCTCATGGTTGAGGGCAGTAAACTTTCATTTTCAGAAAGTTGTATCCAACCCAATCGAGCAGAAGGATGGGATGGATGGATGGATGGATGGATGGATGGATTAATACGTAGCGAATCAGAGGAGGTGGCCACCGTCACACTCTAATTTATTTAATATTGTAAGAGAAATGACCTTGAGATCAGAGAAGTGGTGAATTTCTCCCCAGACGGCAAACAGAAACAATGGAGCCGTCCTAATTGTGACATTACAATCCGGCACACAGTGAGCGATCAGAGGGGGATTGATTGGAGGAGTGGAAAGGTGGACGACTTTGTGAAAAGGTCATTGCACACTCTACCTGGAGTTTTTAATAAATCCAACCCACCGCCTGCACTGCGAACACGGAAGAAAGTGAAAGAAAAAGTACAACTCCCGTGTGATTACAGACTTCCTGGACAGTGATATTTTCCCCAACGCATTAGTGAAGCAAGATGGTAATTTCCCGGGGCCAGGGTGTATCCAGGCAGAAAATGATAAAAGGAAATAGATAGAACGAAAGGGGGGGCTCTCTTTCCCTTTCTGCCCTCCCAGCAGGGGGGCTGACGTGGAGGTTAATTGGGGGGTTAAGAGGAGGTGGTGTCGGCTGAAGGTCAGACTGCTATTCCAGCCAGCAGGAGGTCCCTGATCCTAGATGGACTAGTTGAGAGTTGTTGGTCATGTTGTCATGTAAGTGCTAACTCTCTAATAGAGACAGGAACAGAGCTGTGAAAGAGCACAGAGGCAGATGTGGCAACTTTCTGCTGCAAAGAGAACAAGGAAACACAACCAACATTTCAGAAAACACACGAGTAAAGGATATAAAAAGCTGGAGAAATCATCTGTGGGTGTTTGCACCTGCTATATCTGACTACTGTATATGGATTTCAATGACTACTTTTTTATTTTAGTGTTGCCTCTGTGTTTAGTGTCCTGTCTGTCTGTAACTTTGACAGGTCTCTCTTGAAAATGAGACCTTGTGTCTCAATGAGATTTTACACCTGTATAAATAAAGGCGGAATGGTGGAATGAGCTCCCCATTGACATCAGGACGGCAGATAGCTTGCACATCTTCCGGCGCAAACTGAAAACTCATCTCTTTCGACTCCACTTCGAGCGATAGAACTATTAACGAAGCACTTTTATACTAATAAAGGACTGGCTTACCTAAAGCCAGTTGAGTAGCACTTGAAATGTTTGGCTCTATGAAACCTGATGTACTTATATGATTCTGTTTTCTTCAAGGTTGTGTCTTCCTGGTCGAATGTACTTATTGTAAGTCGCTTTGGACAAAAGCGTCAGATAAATGCAATGTAATGTAATGTAATGTAAAGGCTAAATAAAAATTAAAAATTAAAATAACGTGGGACATGATGTTCAAATTAAAGTTGCAATTTTCTTACCAGTTGCTGTTAAGACCGAATCATCAATTCAACAGCAGAACAAGTTTTTCGGTGACAGAAAAGGCAGATAAAATGGAGGGAAATGGCAAAAGCTACTGTACAGAACTGTCTTTAAATTCCATCTAATAATAGCACTGAAGCTAACAGTTGTTGTGTTTTATATTATCGACCAATCCAATGAAAATGTCTTGATATAAATTAATTAGCGTCTTTGGGTCCAGAAAAGCGCTATATCAAATTAATATATTATTATTATTATTATTATTATTAATTGGTCTATAAAATGGCTGTTGTGATTTTCCCACAGCCAAGGGAGATGCATTCAAATGCCTTGCTTGTTTTGGAACAACAGTCCAAAAGCAAAACAGTCCAAAGATATTACTGAACATAGAAAAGCAAAAACTGAGAAGCTGGAACTCGGAAATGTTTAGCAGTTTTGCTTAGAATTTGTTCCTTGAAGTCGTGTAATTACTGGAGCTCGATTTGTTATAATTCGTAGGGTTATTTCGAGATTATACAGTAAACTTCTGACAGTCCACTGCTTGGCTTACACTACTGACTGATGTTATACCTTAAGAAATTAAAAGCACAAAATCTGCTGCATATCGTTTTTGTTGCAAGTATCTGTATCTGAGTTTGATTCAGAACATGTACATTACAACATGTATGTCCAGAGGCAAGATATAGAAGACTCTATATATTCTCATGTTGCCCCTGGGCATTACCAGAGTAGATTGAGTGGAAGAGTTTCTCAAACAACTGGAAGACAAAATGGAGACTTGTTTAAAGGTCCCATGTCATGACCATTTCTACTGATCATAATTCCATTGTTGAGGTCTACTAAAATACATTTATATTGTGCAATTTTCCAAATTCACATTGGTTTCTCAAACAGCATCTCTGTATAGTATGTGTATTCACACTGTCCTAAACGGCTTGTTGGAGTTCCTGCCCCCCCCCTCCCTGTGAGCCCAGTGGCCGTCTGCGAGACACCGCGAAACCCAGCCCGAAACACACACACACCCGCAGCCTGGCTGGGAGTTTGTGTATGTGCCCAGGCTGAGTTCCGCGGTGTCTCGTGTCTCGCTGTCTCGACGACCCCACACCAGTGAGCCAGCTCACAGTGTCCCGCTCCTCGCAGCAGCGAGCCTCGCAACGTCCCGCCGAGTGTGTGTGTGTGTGTGTGTGTGTGTGTGTGTGTGAGGAAGTCCGCGGATTGGTCCAAACGTAACGGCTCCGTGGACGTAACGTAACGGCTCCGCAGATTGGACATGTGGACCAATCTGCGGAGCCGTTACGTTACGTCACTATACCCGAAATACGTCACTATACCCAAGAAGTAAACAATGGAAAAAGAGAAATCTCCAACGAGGCGTTCTGGGGCAGCATAGACAGGTCTTCTCTGTGTTAGAGTTTTACTCGCTACAGGGTGTACTTTGAGGGTTTGTGACTGCAGACCGTTTACATGCAGAAAAAGCTTCATAACAACAAGGGGACGGGTAATAACCAGAAAAGCATGACATGGGACCTTTAAATGAATTGTGTTCAAAACCAACAGAATACATTTTTGGGAATGATTTATTTTGTAAAAACTGATCTCTTTCAGAAAGAAGATAATGTACAAAACTAAGAAAAGGAGCAAAGTTGAGAAATAAAAGTGTAAGGTACAGGAGGAAAAAACAATATACAACAGTAAAGTATAAGAGAACATCTATTGTGGCTACATGTATACATTGCTCTCTTTTTAGATGAAGTCTTCACATTATCTATAGTGTTTTCTTGACACGTGAGTTAATCATAAACATTCAAATGAGGTTCTGCACATTATCTGCTGCAGACGTGCCTATCCAATACCTAAACACAATATCAGTGCGCCATTCATATGAGCTGTACATGGCAGCACAATATCTTTGTTGGCGTTAGGAAGGGACATTTCTTGAAGCAAGCGATGCTCATGAAGGCCAGCATTAAGTACGATCACTTAAACAACATCAAAGCGGATCTGCAAGACAAGAAAATGACTCCACTGGTGATTCACCACAAACTCATCTCCAGATACACAGAATTAAGCAACAGAAAAAAAGGAGAAGAAAACTGCCTTTACCCTGCATTAGTTTACCATTTCAACGTGACAGTCCATGATTCCTTTTTTGTATTGAGAGTCACTTGGGCTTGATACCCGAAAGCCGCTTATATGGCAACCAGGGTCACCATTTTTTAATTCCATATCACACCCCTCGAGTGCAGTTCAACAAGTCATACTTACACAGTATGTATTTAAAATAGCCTCAGAGGAAATATGTGTACCATGTGCAGCTGACAAAGCCTAATCGTAAATGGCTGACGTTACATTGTTTATCTTTACGTTGCAACGAGCGGGCAGAAGCGTTCATTTTCATTAAAGATGTGACTGTATTTCCAGTAAATCCAAGGCTTAATACTGCTCAATCAGGAGAGAGATGAGATTCTTTTGTAAAACATGTTTTCATTGACCTTCCAGCATTATTGCGCAAACAAATTGTCGGTATTTTTTTATGTGATTAAAGGCAACTTCAGTTAAAGGGGTCCCATTATGCTCATTTTCAGGTTCATATTTGTATTGTGTTCCTCTACTGTGACATGTTCACATTCTTTAATTAAAAAGCTCTTTATTTTTCTCATTCTGCCTGTGCTGCAGCACCTCTTTTCACCCTCTGTCTGAAACCAGAGCCCAGTCTGCTCTGATTGGTTAGCTGGCCTGCTCTATTTTGATTGGTCAACCACTTAGGGTGCGTCTCACTTCGGTTATTTTTGATTTCCTCCCTCCTCGGTCTTGCCGGAAGTTGATTTGTCTGCGCCATCTTGAGTACCGTCCCAGTGGCCTTATTTTGCCGGAGGATCGAGGAGCGATAATCGAGGAACTACCAGACCATCCTCCGGTGAAATCCTCAGACACTCGCCCCGCCCCCTTACTGTGTATCGCTCACTGATTGGACGATGCAGCGCATGCACTGATCTGGCTGCTGTCAGACGATCAGCTGTGCAGCGTCATCACAAACGGACGTCGCTTCAAGTGACGCTCGGGAGAAAACGACGTCCCATTGCTCTTAAAACGTATTTCCCGGCTTCTCGTGGCTTCCTTGCGTCTCTCCATGCTTCCCTGGTGGGAGGGACTAGTCGCAGGGAAACGACGCAAGTGAGGGACTCAAGGAATCCATTTAACCGAAGTGAGATGCAGCTTTAGAGGTGTAGTTAGAGGGAGTGTATTCGAGAGAAACTTTGGGATTTTAGCACAAAAACTCCTACAACACACTACAGGAAAGGGAAAGCCCAAAGAGCATAATAGGGCCCCTTTAAAAGGAATGCTTGAAATAAAAAAGCAAAAGCATTGGCACAAACTGGCACACTTCTTTGAAAAAAATAAAAAGTAGCATTGTCCTGATTTCCCTTTGATATTTCACCAGTTTTGGTTGTTCTACAGTGCTACAGTAGATAACTGTAAATGAAAGTCACTGTTGCTAAACTACATTTCATAACAGGAGTGTATGAGCTGACACATAAACCCGTTACAGTGTTGTACAGCACGAAGACCGCAACCTCAGTTTTGGAGCGGAATTAACAGCAACACATGTATTGTAAATGGAATCAGAGTAAATAACTCATTTTGTTTAGTATGCACACGTTCATCAAAACGACTAAAAGATAAGATAAAAGTAGACAGCATTCCTGAATAAAATCGTTACTGTGATACTATGATAATACTTTTTACGCAGAGGATAGAATACTTAACACACAGAAGATGTATTGTTCATATATCTGGAGTTACTTCTAGCTCTTGCTGAGCTGGTTTTGATGAAGAAGCCCAGTGTCAAAATACATCTTTCAAAGCATGCTTTACTCAGCCACACCATACCACACACACTCACATAAAAAAGGACGTTCACAAACACATTTACCGCACACACACATATTCCCTGTCTGCTGCTGAATTCAAAGTGACAGCAGCAGCAGTTTCCTTCCATTCCTCCACCCAGAGTCCAGTTATCCCCCCTGCAGAGACACAGCCCACCCCCCTATGTGGGGAAGCAGATGCCGCAGCACTCCATACAGAATTCCAGGCAATCTGAAGACTCGCAGCAGGCGTCCATGATGCCGCAGTCCATGTCGCAGGGGCAGTTGCAGTCGTCGCCCATGTCGTCGGCGCAGCAGCAGCAGCAGCAGGCCTCCGATGTGCAGGCGCCGCACGAGGCCTGCGTCACCACCATGTTGCAAAGAGTCAGGAACTCGCAGAACAGGCACGCCAAGATGCAGTGGACGCAGCAGTCTGGGTCAAAACCCGACGGGGTGAAGCAAAATAAACACGTGAATAAAAGAAACCCATTCAAAAAAAGACAATATATAAAAAAATATGTAAATACTGAAATTAGTAGCCATTAAATGAAACCAGCGGTGTGATTGGATGAGGATTCGCATGCTTGGCAGGTGGAACCGGTAACTTGCCGGGAGGATGGTGAAATAAGAAATATTCAAATAAATGAATTCCTCTCCTGCCGTTGTGATTAACGGACTGCTAAATAATTGTGGCATTATCATGCAAACTGCCAGGTTGATCACACACAGACGATTAGAAAAAGTCCAACAGTGTCTCCCGGTAAATAGGTGGATTAATGCCGCCAATGCTCACACCTCTGATTAACATTTAACCTCGTCGCAGACTGCCGTCAAATAGCTGGTGGCAACTTTCAGCTTGTTGCAGCACGGCAATAAAGAGTTCCCCTTTAAATTCCCAATATACCCATTAACCATCACAAATCTGTTTCTCAATGGCGGAATTAGTTTCATTAAAATGCGTCCGTGCTGAATTGGTAATGAAAAAGAACAAATTACATATTTTACTTCCACACACACACACACAATATGTTAGTGATGCCATGCAGGGAGTGCAGGATGCAGAGGACAAGAGCTTTCTTACAGAACTCTTTAACTACAGGGAGAAAATGTCATTAGATGAAACGCAATTTAATTATTCTTCAAGACTTTTGATGATTATTGTGTTTTTCTATCCTTATGTGTTTTATTTTAATGCCATTAACCTGCCAGGGACTGCAAAATGTCTCTATAGCTAAATCTGGCATATTTACATGTTGGACTCAAGTGCATATGTTGATGTGCATTGTGCCTTCTTAAATAAATAAATAACAAAATCATATCAAATCAAAGACCTTATTTTTGTTGTGCTTAACACTAAAAAAATGTTTTTAAGTGAAATGTATGATACAATAAAACCCAAAGAAAACTGATTAACAAAGTACATAGTGTAATCAGAGGTCGCGTTAACCGGATTTTTTTTTAACAATGACGGACAAATCTAAAAGCATTCCGTCATTTTGACAGATTAGAAAAAACTCGGAACAGCGCCAAAGTTTCCCCGCAGCGAGGCTCCGGTGTTATGCCGTGTTACGCATGCCCTCCAAAAAGGAAATTACACCGTTTCCAAACCTAACTGTGCCGTACAAATCATTGAAATGTCTGTGAGTTTTGGCTTTACGCTGTGCACGGCGCATGTGAACTGTCGTCGTCGTCCCCCCCCCCGTTGACAGTTCACGAGCATGCTTCCCCCCCCGTCAGAGTTGTGTAAAGGCTGACGGGTAATTCTGGATTTTGACGGAAGTTTTACGATCCTGTCCGTCGAAATGACGGGCAGCGAAAAAGTCTAGCGCAACCTCTGAGTGTAATATACATGTTATATATTGTATTACAATGTGCATATTTTTACTTGTGTTTATCTAAAATAGTTTTATTTTATATTTTAATGCACATTTGTAGTTCAACTTCTTCTTTTTTATATTTAAAACGTTTTTTCAAACTAACTATCACAATTGACCGTATGATATCGTTAATAGCTGCTTAACACCAGAACTTGTGTAGTTGCAATAAGGCACTAAATTATACTCAATATCACTCACTAAGTGTGCATGGCATAAACTCCTTGCAGCTGTCTCCTTTTTGAACCGAGGCCAGAGCAGCGCCACTGCTTTGGAGTGTTAAAGAGACATGATGTGGATGGATGCAGAAAAATAGCATTACAAACAGGGCACATTTGCATAACTTTCATCAGCCCATCTTGAGCCGTCAGAAGGAGCTGTTACTGATTGGGTTAGAGGGAGAGCGAAAGGCGGAGAGTGTGGAGGGCGGCATGGGAAGGCAAGCTGAGGACCGCTGGATGCTCATGTTTGATTAATCAAAGTAGAGGAATCTTTTTTTTCCTTCATCCTATTTTTTGTGGTGCTCAGGGCTGACCAGAAGCTGACTGTGATACAAACAAGATAGAGAAGGGGAACATGAAACGAGCAAGTGTGTGAATATGTATGTGAGTGAGGGTACCTGAAGTTTGAATGCATCTTATTATCCTTATCTGAGGCCATAATATCTCAGGCCATAACACTGGCAGTGGTGGGAGGAGAAATTCGGAACATCTGTAGTGGACGTGCGGTAAATTGGATTTTTTTTCATGCTGGTGTTGCGAAACTCATACTGGCATTGGGTAAAGTGTACTGCCATGCGAGCGCTACAAAATGAACACAATAAACAGCGCCCAGTCAAAGCCCCATGCACAAAACCTCAAAGTTCAGCCAAACAAACTTTGAAGGACCCAGAGGGTATAGCCATGCGCTCAGAATGTAACAGTAGAGTGTGAATAGGGTATAAACACATAGGCATTAAGCAGCGGCCGGCCATCTCAACTATTCACTTGGATGTATAATTCAACACCAGCGATTAGTCTGGATCTTAGAGAAGCCAGTAAAAAGGAGAGAGAAAGACGATGGGGGTGGGGGGGGGGGCGTACACTGTACACAAGAGAGCAGGACGAGAGGCACATCTCCAGGAAAACAGAGAGAGACAGACAGAGACACAGAGTGAAACCAACCAACAGACAGACAGAGCAGCGCACACTGACACGTCTCCTGTTTAATGTCAGTGAGCGGCGATGAAGCCCAGAGTTTGCAGGGGCCGAAAACAGCGTCCGGCGCCTCTGAGGAAATACTTTGAGACATCTGGAAAGCTAACATCAAAAAAGAGGGAGCGGCATGACACAAAACAAGCTGGATGGGCCTCAGAGCGGCAAGCTGTGCAAAACATTCAAACTCACAAAGAGAGGCAGACAGAGGGGGAAAGAGGTTGATCAGACCAGGCCTTGGTGGCCATGGAAATGCACAGATGGGTAAAGAGGGCAGAGGACGTGGGCTGGATGGAGAAGGTCCACCACATGCACTTTAAAGCAGGCTTGTTGATAATGCATGACTGAGGCAAAAAGTCAAAGCTAGAGGACTTGCACAATACACACATTTTGTTTGGTTTGTAGCTAATCTGCACTACGCTCGAGGCATTGACTTAAATCTCTAAATGAGGCTAAAGCAGCTTGGAGACCTCAGCTGATTACACACAATTAACAGAAAAACACAAACTGGTTGACAAAGGTAAAGACAACACCCCCTGCTGAACAAAAGCAGAGTGCTGAATGCCTCCTCAGAAGCTGTGGTGTTATCACAGATCGGCTACGATGCCAACGGCACGTGCCAGGAATCACAGAATCCCCAGAGCTAGATCCAGCTAGTTTATGCCTTTTATTTCCTGTGTTCAGGGGGCTGTTTAGGAGGCTAATTTCACAGGCAAACAGATTATGTTAATCCGTGTAAACATTCAAACACCACAGCTTGGCTGTTTTCCGGGGGGAAATAAATAGTTGAGAGCGAACATATTGATTTTGAGAGCTCTCGCGTCTGCAAATAAGCAACACTAAAGCCATAATGAGACAGACTTGTTAAGCTGCTGTTGTTGTATGTTCTATTCTTGTGCACCCTCTCTGCTGTTCTTTACCAATTAAGATGTTGAAAACATGATGTGTCTGGAATATCTCTGGTGGACGCATCCCACTTTTACTTGCCAGGCGTTGTGTAAGTGCATATTTCAAGGCAAGCATCATCAAGTACACATCTGACAGCCCACTTGTATCCCTCAAACCTGACACCTGACCATTAGTCATCTTTGAACACATTTTCCCATCTTCACTTTGGAGTCCACATGAAAAGAGAAAACAGCAAAGGCCTCGAGTTGCACGAATAGGTAGTGAATTGTCCACAGAACACAGAAGGTTGTCCACACACGCACAGCCACCTAGCCAAATAGTTGGAGGAGGGATGCGACGATAATGAGGGCCGCGGTGGTGCTGACGGGATGTAGGGAGAGCCAGAGAGGGCCCAGAGAGGTGTGAGGGGCCCGAAGAAGGCTGGTCACGACTTTTAATAGGCACCCTGTGCTCTCAGGCCTCGTTAGACGGTCACACCTATCTCCCCGATGGAAAAGGACCAGCCGTCCGCCTTCATTACCGGACTCACCTCGGCCTAGCACCTGACAAAGTGACGGCTTCCCGGCATCGCAAACGCACTCTCTGACTTGTTGTTCAGGAAAATAAAAATCACAGCAGCGGGATACGATGTCATTTGCTTGACGGGAGTTATAGATTTCAGGGGTCATGCACTCCCATTAATAAAAGGTGAAAGAAGGGACGGGTTTATATCAATATGGGTATTATTACAGCAGAGAGGAAAAAAGAGAATTAATTGTTAAGGTGATGGTTGAACGTATATCCTAAATATTATGTGTTTTGTTTTTTTAAAGGACCGGGAGCAGCATTTCTGTCTCCTAATATTTTGATCAACTACTCAGATGATTTACTTTTCTTCTTACTTAAATATAGCAATGTATGCTTTTGTGTGACATGGAATAATGACTGATGTATTTTACAAAATATATATATATGTTTTACGGGAGTTGAATTAGGAATATTTCAACGCATACGACAAACTACACGTCTTTTTATACACAATGCAAATAATACAATAAGAACTGGCCTGAATTCTTGAGACATCCCTACGGCCCCATGGAATGAATGACCAACAGAAGATGGGATGCAAAAGAGAGAAGCATGCGTGCAAACAAGCGTTCGAGAAGTTAGTAGTACTGTGTCTGTGCTCTCTCTTACTCACTGTCATGATTTCCCTGTGTGTTGCTACTCACCCTCGGGTAAAGGAGGCTTCTGTGAGCTGGTGGAGCTGCCTTTACTGCGCCGGCTGCTATCGCTGTTCACCGACAAGCTGGACCTCAGTTTCCTCTGCATCCTCTGCGACACCGGCGTCGACGGCTGCTTCCTGGGCTGCTCCGTGGTCGGCGCCTCTCTTGTGCCGGGGCCAGAACCACCCGTGGCCCCCGTGGGGCTGTTGGCACCGCAGGAGCATGTGCGTGCGGCCCCCGGGTGTACGCCGTTGCTGAACGTGGGCGTGCCAGTGCTGTTGTGGTGAAAGCCATATTGATCCTTGCGAGCGGCTCCATCGGCAGGCTCTGGTTGAGCTGAAAACATAAGAAATAAGATTTGTATTAGTTTAGTAAAAGACTTATGACGCTTTTCCACTGCAGGACCTAGCACGGCTTAGTACGGTATGGTTAGGCCTTGGTAGGTCAGCTCACTTTATGCTGCGTTTCCATTACAGTTTAGTAACAGGAAACCACAAAACCAAAACAGCCGTTAGCTGTTAGCCCTCAGAGCTCACAGCTCCTCATATCTGTTCAGAAACTAGACAAAAGTTAAACAAGTACAAACCACAGACTGCCTGTGTCATGGCGAATACAGTCGCAGGTTTATTTATGTCTGTAGGCCGTTGTTGTGAGTGTGGTTGGAGCATATACAACGTTAGCTTAGCCTGATCAATCCGATCTCCATTCAGAAAACACACATTTCAAAAGGTTTTTCTCCTGCCGTCTGTCTGCAGACCGGTATCAGTATGTTGTTCTTCGGCATCGTTTTGAAACGTGTATTACAATGAAATCACGGTGAAATATGTTCATTTTGTTGTAGTTGTAGCCCCCTTGCCAGCGATTCTCTCTGACCAATCAGCAGTCGAGAGAGTTACTGTACGTCACCAGTTTAGCATATTCAGCCCGGTTGTTGGCCCGGTAAGAACCTCGATTTTGGAGGGCCAGAAAAAAGGTGAAGAAGTAGCCCTGAGCCGGAACTACCCCGAGTGGAAAAGCAAAAAAAAGCGGGCCGGGCTTAAACCGTGCTACGTGCTGCAGTGGAAAAGCACCATTAGATGTGTAGTTTCATCACATGTACTTGTATTCGGGATTGTGGGAAATGGTATTCCGATCTCTCCGTCTGTACACACAAACTGAAAGATTGACAATAAAGTTGACATCTACTCACATCAGGTTTAAGGACAGTTAAGTGATTGCATTTCACCTTACTTGTATTTATTTAGCGGCAAGCTCAATGTCTTAATGTAGGACGGTCTATACATTAATATAGAAAACATATAGGACTACAGTAAGGCTAAACAATTATTTGAAACTTTTCTCAAAATCACAATATGTATTTGTGCAATATTCAAATCGCACGAAGCTAAATGAAGGTTAAATATTTGTTAAAATACCATTTTGAATAACATACTGTGTCGCAGCAGAGATATCCAAACCTACAAATCCTATTTTCCAGACTTAATAAAAACACATGTTCTGGTGCAGATCCTCTTAAAAATCACATCATGATCAATTTCATATATTTTTGGTGCAATTTTAAATTGTGCAGACCTTGAAACATGACATACATCTACCCGTTTTCCCTTTTAATATGTAAGATGGGAACATAAAGCACAATACTTCAATAAGAGCATATAAAAGGAACCACTGCTTTACTTTCATAACTTACTTTGTAATGTCTATTTATTGCAAGATGATTCCTTTTACCCTTATGCTGATGGCGTGATAACCCTGTAACTTTATTTTAACTGAAGAGAACTTTGTCGGCATCTTTCACTTCATACCTTTCACTCACATATAAAGTCACTGTAGCTTGTGATGTTCAAAGGGAACACGGTAATGGAGACGCACCACTCTCAGCTAAATCACTCTCAGCAAATCTTGCCACCATTCCCTAACATGATCATATCGATCACATGGCAAACACTTGAACCCGGCCCGACAGAAGGGAGCGCAGAGATATAGGAACGCGTATATGTGACAGGTTCACAAAAGCCACCGCTGTAGGCAGACACGCGTTTGTGGGAGCAGGCGAGTTAAGTCAGTGCGCGAGAAACGAGAGTAAAAAGAGAAAGAAAACCTGTGATACTGTGCATATACAAAAAGAGCTGCTGTCTGCAACAGTAATGATCTCCTTTCCTCTGAACGCTCAGAGATGGCCTTTCTAAGTGTGTGAGTGTGACAGCCACAGAAAGTCAGGAGACAGCGACCTGTCTGATAAGAAAGAAGGCGAAGGATGTGAGTGAGTAAAGGAGGTGAGAGGAACACCTGCACATGCAGCTCTACTGGGACCTACTCCTGCGTTACCTTCCTCCACATCAGAGCCGCTGAGCATGTGCACGCGCCACCAGTGCACGCTTAACTACAGATTTTGTGAATTATTCATCTCTCTTTAAGTCTGTCTGTGGGAACCGTGCTTCTATTCCGTTTCCTATACGTTTGGTATATACGTTAAATATATGCCGTCTTGAGCATCGTATTGTGCCTATTCTAACAGCTGTCTCGTGCAGCTGTCCAAAAAACAACAAATGTGGACAAAAACAGAAACTTAATTCGTTGCCGGTCATTTTTTTCCATCTCTATTTTCCTTCCGTCAGCTCACCAACAAGTGCAATTACGGTTAACAAGAGAGAGTGTGGGAATCGGGGCCTGGCGCTTTTTAACAACACATCACCCTGGGAGAGGCCGGACGTGAATGTAGATGTAAAACAAAGCAATTAAATACACACACTGGGTTTCTGCCTTCTCCTCATTCGGGCTTCTGCATGCAGCCTCCGTAAACAAATAGACTTTAGGGATCAGGATTCCACGCAATTTGAAATTAGACAACTGGGTAGCACACGATAGAATTCATTATGCAGTGATTTAAGACCAGGTTGATGGATTTTCTCCTCCAAAAGACAAAAGCCTCGCAGCCTGCCCATGATAATGTGGAGAGAGACTGAAAGCTTGCTAACAAGGAGACACGGAGAACGCTACATCTGTTGTTGTTCTTCACTTCTAGCGCTGGCAGCTGCAACTTGACATGTTTTTCTTCCCACAGCCTTTTGTTTTAATGCTTGGCAAACAATTATCATAAGGGAGGCTGGTTACACACAGAGCAGTAGGGTGATCTACATATCAACAATATGGGTCCTACTTGGGTTAGCCAAGGAAGATTTTTGGCGTTTCAAGGAGAAGTTTTCTTTCAAATTGATTATTTCACTATTAGGTATCCGACATCGGTCACTTCAGGACGGAGAGGCATGAAGTACATCGTTTTTTTTCCCAAATGACTTTGTTTGATGTTTGTTGCAGACCAAAAGTTAGCTTTTCGGCAAACTGTAAGAGATTTTTTCTGCTACTAGGTTAGATTACAATCTGCAAATGTATGTTTTAACATTTGCAGAATCCAGAAATAAAAATTAGCAAGCTAACTGTTCTAATCCCGCTGTTTGTGTTTGCAATTATTTAATTCCTTAGATGTATTTTAATGCACAGAAAGCACTCCAAACTAATTTGCAAAGACCCCACACAGACTTAGCAAAACTCACAGCTAACACTGTACCGTAATGATAATTCACCTGTTTCTTGAGTATTTGTAAGTCAATACTACACAGCAAAACTCCCATCTAGAAGTTGGTTCCTTAAATCCATCACCCATATCGTCTTGCATAAATACACACTGCTCTGTCACATTGAGGTTAAACGAACTAGCATACATAAACACATGTTCAAGCACAAAAAGGCCGAAGTAGACTGGGAGGCATAATTACCTTTCCATTTGAGGATGTCGAGCTTTCAATTTGCCAAAGCATAAATAGTTATAAAGAAACCACCACACATGTAAGCGGCGGCTCAGGTTTCTGAAGTCCTAAAAAGTGGTTGGAGTTGGGCTGAAGTGTGCCCCAGTGGAAGGCTCCTGGAGGCTTTACACTGTCTCTTTATTTTTATCCTGAGGAACACGGTGACTGAGATGAATGGACACGATGGAGTAATATTCATAAGCATTGATCATGATAATGATGATACTGTCAAAAGATGGCAATGACAGACTTGTACAGTCACCGTGAGACAAATGAAGACATAATGAGAGAAAGCAGAAATACAATCGGCCCTGTTGGAAGTATGCTACGCCGGCTGGCTGGTTGGTTGGTGCATCAAAGAAATTAATAAAATGATAATGCGTATGGATTTTTACTAGGTTAGAGTTTTTAGATTCATGATAATATATGTCCTTAATGGCATTTTTTGAACTCCACATCTGAGGATTCTGATAATAAATGCAAGTACGAGTGTGTTGTCTGTTAATGAATCCTGACAGAGCTTCTGCTGCTGCATTGTTCATACTTTATAAAAACAGCAGGAAACAAAAAACGGCATCAAAATTTGATGCGAAAAACTCCCAGCAAGTTTTTTTAAATCCTCCGAGCTGTACAGTTGCAAGGTTTTGAAGGAAGGGTGTGTGTCCTGAGATAACTGAAAACACACAACCTGACAGGTTGCATTAAAACACCATGTTTGGGAGAAAGAAATGGACACACATATGCGCACACACACTTCAAATTGGACTTGTAACCGCCCTATTTCGAGCACATCAACAACTGTTGAGAGTGTACATTTGTAGTTGAATAAAACATGGAATCCCCCTACACACGCTGTCACACACATCACAGGGGAAACTAGGGGGTGAGTGCTTCTTGACTGTCTAAGCAGCATCCCAATTTGGTCCCAGCTACTAGTAGCTGACAGCCTCAAATATCTGGGGAGCATTTTTAAAAGGCCAGTGTTTGATGGATTCATGAAGAACACACAAATATAATTGCCATTTGTCACCGAGTCTTCAGTGGCTGCGCCACACAGGGACCGAGTACCGGAGTGCCTGGAGAGCGCCGGAGCTGTGCGCTCTGTATGTAAAACTGAGTATATAAACACCTCCGCTTTTGTCACAAAAAATAGGTCCTACAGGAGGGAGCTGGAAATTGTACCCAAAAGACAGTAGAAAAGAGGAGCAGTACATACATATATGTACAGTATGTCAAAAGCCTGCTAGATCTCACACACGTACACACAGACCTACCAGGAAGGAATATGCATACATGCATGTCAACTGAAACAGAGCTGTATAAACAAGAATTCTAAAATAGTGGAGAACATGAAAATATAACACAGAGGTCAAACGGGGCAGTATGGAGATTCTCATTTGCACACTGCTCCGCTGCGAGTCACAGGTAAGGCAGGCAGCGGATTGAACAACCACACAAGCCGTTTCTAAAGCTCACTCCTTTTTAATAGTAATGCCCCTGAGACAGAGAGGAAGAGGGAGAAGAGAGGAG